ACTTAAACTACTTCAGTCTGTGTGCATTGAATTTATTTAATACACGAGTTTCACAATTTGAGTTGAATTACTGATATAAATGAACTTTTCCATTACATTCTAATTTATTGAGATGCAACTGTCCTTATGTAGTCGTTTAATAGCCGTCTAATTGATGACTAATCTATAAATGGGCTATGATTAGACGTCTATTAGATTTTCACTGACAGCCCAAATTTAGCCTCGTTTTAGCCTAGACGTCCAGGCTATATTTAGACGTCTAATAGACGTCTTTTAAATGTAAAATTGCTTGCTGGGATGTGATATCTTCTATCCGTGTATACACACACACACACACACACACACACACACACACACACGTGAAAATGCGTATTTTTCAATTAAAGACTGCTTATAGATTTAATATGGGCTGCTTTTGGTGCTTGACACCTTTTTATTGGTCATTTTGTGTTTCAAGAATAAGGTCCAAGGTTAAGAATTATGCTATTTGTTACTTAAATATAACATGTTTTTCTCTATTTAACAACATTACAATACAACTTCACTTACTGATGTTGGACTCATGAAAAATAATCACGTAGTTTGTATTCACCAAAACTGATTTACTGAAGTGAAAACACGGACGGAATTGGAGTTAGTGCGAGTGCCGCTTGCTGTGAGGAGGGAGCGACGAGCCGGCAGAGGATTGCGCAGCCTTCCTCGAACAGTTCACGATTTCTGATTTACTTAACGTATACTGCGTGAGGGGGGCCGTGATTGGATGATGGCAGGTATCGGTGATCATTCTCAAGTGATCAGCACTGCTGCTGTTGTATCAGTCAGTGGTTAGATCAGCGTAGCAGTCAAAAAACGGGACAAGGGAAGTCACGTAGGCTACGGGACAAATCAATTAGGCCCAAAATACAGGATGTCCCGGCTAATACGGGACAGTTAGCAACCCTAACAACAACGTTTGTCAGGCATCTACATTGTCATCTGAGGAGATTCCAAAGATTAAACGAGTGTTTTTTAAACTCTAAAACATGAAGTGTGGAGTTATCTGCTGTTGGAGTTATCTGCTTTTGCTATAACACAAACTTTTAAAACTCTGAAAGAAAACACAAAAGATACAAAAGGACAAATGCTTTAGTACAGGGGTGTCAAATTCAGCTCCTGGAAGGCCACCTGCAGTGTTTTTCTCTAACCCCAATTAAACACACCTGAACCAGCTAATCAAGGTCTTCAGGATGACTAGAAACGTCCAGGCAGGTGTGGTGGAACTGGTTGGTGCTACACCGGCCATTTAGTATTAGAGGGAGATGTTTAGATATCAGCATTTACCGCTAAAGAAAACCAAAGAAAACAGCAATAATTAACAATAACTGTTGTCATAATATTGCAGCCCAAGTTCCTATTTTTTAAAGGTAGAATATACAATTTTAAATATTTTGTTACTGGTAACAGTCTCGATCAATTTTAGTAATTGGCTAAATTTAAGTATTTGACATTAAAGATAACACAGATACAATTAATAAGGTAGGCTAATGATAAAGATTGCGCTTACAAAGGTAAAAAAAAATGCCCCTGGAAATCAGTACCATGGGGCAAATATTACCCCTTAATGGAAAAGTTTATTTCTGACCCTGGAACATATTATGCAGATGTAATAGTGCTTTCAGGGTTTGTATTTATGAGTTGGGAAGCAACATATATGATGTCAGTATACTAGACCCCACTCTTTGAACCACCGACCTTTGGGTTACAAGTCCAACTCTCTAACCACTAGGCCAAGACTGCCCCATATATAAATGAAGAGTTCATTTGCAAAAACGATAACTCCATTTTTATTCATTTTCAGAAATCACGTTTTTTTATATTGCACATTCAAAGTAATTTCAATCAAACTGCAGTTGGGTTGTTTTGATTAAGTTATAATAACTTAAACAAATACAGGTAATTTACTAAATTAAAGTTAATTGAAAATATGTTTTTTTTTTTACATATTAAACAGGAGGATAAGGTAGTGTAAGGTGTTGTAATGACATTTCATTTAATACTACGTCTTTTTCACCTGGATACCCTTGAGCAAGGCACCAGACCCCCAACTTGCTCCCTGGGCGCCGCAGCAAAAATGTCTGCCCACTGCTCCGTGTGTGTGTTCACTTAGATGGTCAAATGCGGAACACAAATTCTGAGTATGGGACTTCATATTTGGCCACACGTCATGTCCTTTCCTCTTTTTCCTTTCCAATATCCTGGGATGCAGACGGTTTGAATTGAAAAATGTTTTGTGCCCATGGGAGAGCAAAAACTGTAATGAGATTATAATAAAAAGCCCATTGCATTTACAGAAAGAAAATAAATGACAGTAACGTGTTACTGTATTCAGAAGACTGAATGTGTTTCTGCAGAACATTCTTGCTTTGACCAATTAAAATGTTTTTGTTTGTTTTATTTTTTTTTACTATGTTAAAATTCTGTTTATAACGTTTTTGGCACACAATGTAGAGCATAGAACTGTTTATTTAGTAAAAATTTTTATTTTTAAAGTTAAGACAAACTGTTCAAGTGTTTGTTACCAAGGTGTGTTCAGGTGTTCGTTTTATTTTTTAAAGTTTTCTCCAAACTTTGGAATTAGGGATTTCTTGGTGTACCATTGAAGTATAGTTGACACATTAATGTTGTTTCAACATTTACTTGGTACATCAGATGTCAAATGTCAACACTTTTGACATCTCAGTTGTATTTTCAGGGTTTCAGCAAAAGTGATTTAGAAACAACATGTAACATGTAACAAACAATATATATATTTTTTTCATTCTGAACAATATTATAGATGATTCTTGTTCATTTCAATGTTGATTCAACAGTGCTGTAGAATGAACATCATAGCCGTTGATTAAATATTCAGAAATCACAACCTTGTTTCAGCGTTAGTTGTGGGTGCAAAAGTGATATTGATCCAACATCACTTTGTAACATTAATTCAGTGCAATTAGCATTTACGCATTAGCATTGACTTAATATGTTTCAATGGTTTCATGCTATCTGGAGTAGAATAGAGATAAAAATAAAGCATTAAGCTGAAGAGGGAATTTTTCTAATTTTTTTAATTCACTTCCCCCGCTTCCCCCGCTGCACCACTGGAACCAACTTGTTTACGTGAATATTTGGCAAGCAGGAATTTTGACATTTTTAGGAATTTTGACGTTCAAACACATAAAGAAATTATGAAGTTATTTTATCAGGAAAATACCTTACACTTTGAAACAGGGCCAGAATGGGGCCTATTTTCAGTCCATGACTCTAATACCCAAGACCTGCCTCCACAAGACCAACTTGTTTCAACAGGATTATATACAGATAAATAACAAATAGCATACCGAACTTTTTAGAAAACATTCTACAGTCAAACTTTTCAATAGGCACAGTAGAAAAATACTGCATATACAAATTAAATCAGACAGCAATAGCTTTATGGATTGAACTATATGCTCATCTATATAAAGTGTCATAAACACCACTATGAAAACCTTGATATTGACCAAAATTAAATGGAGCCTACCGAATTGATTCCAGAAATCCACTCCGCCAAACCCGTAATCAAAAGCTGCATTCACGGCATGTCGTAGTCACTGTGATTTCAAGATGACAATACGTGACGTTCTGCTTGGAGCTGTTCACATCCTTGGACTCGGATTCGGAACTATCGCACTATAAATGCCTAAACATATCGCCTAATGAATCTGGGGTGGTCAGGTAGTAGAAGTTGTAGCTCTCAGAAAACTCCCAGTTCACAAGTAACGAGTTCCAGGGCAGGACTTAGGGTGCCGGGGCCCCTGGGCTTGAGGTTATGTTTGGGCCCTACCTATACAATACAAATGCCCTCAATTAGAACATCATTATG